TGCAAAAGCTATGCCACTCAGTAACAATACTGTTAGCAGAAGAATAGACGAAATGAGTGAAGATATTGAAAACAACATGCTGAAAACAAGAAAATTCTCAGTGCAAATGGATGAATCAACTTTGATAGACAGTGTGGCAGTATTGATAACTTACGTAAGATATATTGATAAAGGGCATTTTGCTGAACAAATGCTGTTCTGTAAAAGATTAGAAAGCACCATGACCTCTAACGATATATATATAATAAGCTAAAAAAGTACATAGATGTCAATAATATACCAATAAATACATAACATCTTGTGCTGCAGATGGTGTTCCTGAGAAAAATGGCCGCTTAAAATTGATGAAAGATGAGAATCCAGAAATGATTCTCGTGCATTGTGTTATTCATAGGGAAAATTTGGTAGCTAGAAACATCTTGCCTGTTCTAAATGAAGTACTACATTCAGTAATAAAGTGCATCAATGATATTAAAGCTAATGCCAAATGCGAGCTTCTCTTCAAGCTATTTTGTGAAGAACAAAATGCAGACCATGTGAGACTTTTACTTCACACTGAAGTAAGATGGCTCTCTAAAGGGAACTGCTTGAAAAGATTTATGGAACTGTTTGATATTCTTAGTGATTTTTTAAGCGACAAACCTAAAATGAAATATCTGTTAACAGTCGATGATAAAGCATTTGTGAGTTATTCAGCCGATATCTTTGAAAAACTAAATATATTAAATAAGCAACTTCAATGAACAAATAATACTCTTGTTGATGCAAAAGCAAAGATCTTTGTTTTCATTACCCTTATTGAGTTATGTCAGATATATATTAACAACAAAAACTTTGAACAGTTTCATTGGCTCCAAAAATGTGAAGTAAATAATACCACTTTACTTGTTATTGTCGATCATCTGAAATTTCTATCGGCTGTTTTAAAAGAAAGATTCTCTGATTTCAAACAAATTGATTTTCCAACATGGATGATGCAGCCAAAGTTAGTGGATTTGTCTGATATATCAAATATGCAGTATCAAGAACTCGCAGAAATGCAAAATGATGAGTCAGTTAAAAATTTATTTAATATAAAGGGAGTGATGGCATGGCTTTGTGAGGAAACAGAAATCAAATACCCAAATTCAACCAAATGTGCAAAAAAAACTATTGCTACCGTTTCCATCTTCATATTTAGCTGAATTTGGATTTAGTGCTGTAAATGATTTACTGCTAGAAAAAGAAATCGTCTGGATATAACACAACGGGGATACTTGAGACTGAAGCTAACCAAATTGGAACCTAACATAAAATCTCTGTGCAGCAAGGATCTCACTAAATTAAAATATTAAATTATTATAGAAAAATCTTTATTAAAACTATTTTAATTTTAATTTTTCATTATATGTTTTGAAAATTTATTTACTGTGTTTCGTTAACAATTCCTTGTGATTTCTTCCTAAAACCTATCATTTAAGTTTCTTAAGTGAACAATTCAATTTTTTAATATTAAAAATTATGTATATGTTACATAGGGGGGCATACGAATTTTAGAATGGCTTAGGTGGGGCATGGCACAAAAAAAGGTTGGGAAACACTGGGTTAGAGTCCCCTTGCCGAGGTTGTGGTTTTCCTCCATGTAACGCAAATGCGGGTTCTATCAAAACTCCTCTGCGAAAGGCAAAATTTTCCCAATACTTAATCCAGAAGTTCCCTTGTTTTCTGGATTCAGTTCAAAATTACAAGGCTACGGAGTTTAACATTAGTCGTAAACCCAAAAAAATTGGGACGGCTGTTCAACGATGGTTATAAAATAAAATACTCTCTAATATTTTTTTTGAATAAATACTTTTGTAATATGTTGCGACAATGTAAACATTCAGCAATAGATCAATTAAAATATTATTACAAAAAAATACAGAGTCAGTCACCGATGACTGACGTAGTATCCAACGTGTTAATTAACTGTTCAAAATAGTTACAGTAATTTTTAAATACAAGCTGAAAAAGTTTGTTTTAAGAGGTTTTAACCTTCGTTTAAAAAAAAAATTATTTTTTATTAATTCAAATTTTTACAACTCATTCCCATATTTAATATAAATAATTTAAAAAGGTAAATAAATATATTAAGAAGCCAAAATGTTGCTTTTTTTATTTTAATTTTAAAAACTTTTAATATAAAAGTATTAGTAAAAATTATCAGTTGATATGGTGATTTATCAACTGATAATGTGATTATTGATATGGTGATTATTAGTGGTGATTTTTCTCCCCGTCTAAGTTCTCTCCATAAAACGCTTTAAGGTTCACAGTAGTGACAAGTACAGAAGTGACAAAATCTTGAAGAATAATGTCTTGCCTAGACCAAGTTAGATTCTGTAACCTCATTATGAGTATCATTCAGTTGATGCTGATATCTCTTTAATGGTCATTTATGGCCCCTCCATAAAATGTCTTAAAAGGCACAGTAGTGACAAGGACAGAAGTGATAAAATGATGAAGAATATTATTTTGTGTGAACCTAGTTACAGGGTCAAATAGCCTGATTACGTGTTTTATTGAATTTAGTCATTAGAATGATCAGGTATAAAATAAAAATTTAATTATGAATGTGAAATAGAATATAAAAGGTATGGACGTAATTGAAGCTTATTAAAATATATTCATACTTTTAAGCTGATTTAAATACACTATTTGTTTAACAATAGTCTGAACATTTACTATATTTTTATTTATACATGGAAAATGAGGAATACACTAATAACACAGTCGTGAAAATTTCCATGTAGCATAAAAATCATATAAATATTATTACAAAATTATGCATAATTTAAACAACAGGACAGAGGCACGGAAGATAAATAGTAATAAATAAAATTTTTAAAAAAAATACAGAATGTGGGATATAGCTAGCAGGCAGAGAACTAAATGTTTCCTTTTTTTTTAAATGCAAATACAACAACCTTGGCGATTCTAGCTTGCTCAAAAAAATACGTAATACTTTAAGCGAGTCGTGATGGCTCAGGGGACAGAGCGTTCGCATTCCAAAGAGGTGAACCGGGCTCGAATCCCAGTAATGGCTGATCGAAACGACCACATCGTTTGCACCTACCACAGTGTTGACGTAAAATATCCTAAGTGGTAGACGGATCATGGGTAACAGTCCCCTTGCCGTCAGGCTAACCGTGGGAGGTTTTCCTCACCCTGTGCTGCAAGTGTGGGTTAGTTCCATCAAAAAAAGTCCTCCGCGAAGGCAAAATCTCCCAATACTTGAAGAGGAGTTTCCTTGTCTTTTGGATTGTGTTCAAAATTACAAAGCTACAGAGTTGAACATTAGCAGTCGTAAACTCAAAAAATTACGCCGCCTGTTCAACCACGGTTATAGAATGAAATAGTACTTTAGACAATTATTATACCTATCAATATGCCTAATGAAATTATTCAAGAAATAACAGAATGGAAATTATAAAAGCAATAATATTTTCAGGCATACGTAAGGATTTTGAAACTCAATTTGACAAGTTTCACTGTGAAAATGTTAAATTGAAGTTTAATTTTTGTACGTGTAGAGATATAAAAAAAATTTTTTTTACTTACAAGTCAATTTTCCTTCCAGATGAAGATAATTCTCATTTACAGTGTCAACAATGACTGTAGTAGATAATATTTTGTTAATTAAGTTATTCTAACAATGTTTGTAATTTAAGAACTACAAATGTGTAAGTAATGGCGTTCATTTGTTACTCTATTTTCCCAAAATAATTCGATAAATATTTGACAGGAATTAAGGAGCTGATAAACATTTCTTGATAAAAGAAACATGATGATAAGTTATTTATCTGATCCACGCTGTTATCCTACAAATGCGAACTGAAACTTTTATTTTACCCACAATCCCAACCGCGATACGATAACTCATACTTAACCTTGAGCGATTTAATTCTATATTGGATCAATGCTTTCATCTATTTCTCGATAGAGTGCGTTTATGAGCTGATAGAAATAAATATTTACAAATTATGTAGTATTTTATTTAAATGAATAAAAATTTTAAATTATGATGTCAATAAAATATACTATTTTAAGTGAAAAATTTTATTTTAGGGTAGCAAAACTAGTTTAAATGTCTAGGTATTGGTTAAGGTCAGCTTCAAATATATATATATTTAAAATCTTTGAAGTCGGAAAAGTGTTCCTATAACGGAGTTCCACGTTACAATTAAAGGGGTAAAAACTTTAAAAATTCAGCGAATCATTACTTAGGTCATTACTGAAAACATCAAAACCTATTTGATTGCCTGAAAAACTAAGAAGCTCGAGAAGAAATTCCAAATTTCATCACGCAATTCAGCTTGTTTTGATGTTTCTCATTCCGCTTTCTTTACTAGTGATTTAAAAGTCTAAGATAGCATGTTTCTTTATGACACGTTTAAATATTAATTTGCGACCTATATAACGACATGCTTATTTAATTCAAATTTTTCAAGAATTTTAAATGTTTACATTTAGGGCGATCTTTATAGACCACCGTCCTACAGTTTCTTAAGTGTATGAGATATTCCGTTTCACAGTCTGAAAAAAAAATGATTCCGCAGAAAACGAGCTCTTCAAGTTTCAACATCTTTTTAACAATTGGTGACCGCTGATTCGGATGTTTTTAAGTTCCTTCAACGGAATAACGGAACTTAATTGTTCTAATCGGCCGTAACTCGTATTTTGATGGAAATCAAAACTGTATCTTTCACCATCAGAATTCAAATTATACAAATTTAAGAAGTTATTGACGCTATTTCAGAAAATTTTCCTAGATCGCATTTCGGGGGTCAAAAGTCCGACTCCGTCAAAAATGCCATGTTTATTCAGAGAAAGTGTATTTTTGTGTCTGATTTCGTAACTCAAAATATCGCCTGCACTTATTAATCAGCATATTTGAGATAACCCCCTCGAGCCATTAAGATTGAGTTCTAGAACGTGAAAATTCGATCTTTAGATCAAAAGTTACTCAAAGTGCTCTCTTTTTGCGCTCTGTGCATTTGCATTATAAGATAAGACAACTCAAAACGTGCAATTTAAATTAGAGTCAAACGATTTCTAAACCGACAGCTTATTGCTTAATGGGCAAAGTTAGCATTAGACAAAATAACCATTTTCATATCTCTCGATTCTATTAAAATGAGTATTATTCGCTGAGGCAAACCAGTACAATATTATCCTTAAAAACCTTTATATAACAAAATAGAACAAATTATCGTACAAAAATACAATTACATACTGAAAACTTAGCACACTGTTGAACTTTGCACCGTCCATTTCGAATGTTTGTTCAATTAGACAAGGGTTAATAAATCATTCGTTGTATTGGGCAAACAAAACTGAATATATGTGTGAATAAATAAAAACTAGTTCAATATCCTAATAAATACTCTACGTTTTTTAGTAATCATGTAATCAAAATCTTTCAAAGATTGAATTTTAAGCTGATGACATATATCCGATTTTTGTACCTATTTCATAACAATTTGAAAGTTCTGCAAAATGTTGAAGTTAATTTCTTAACTGAAAAGTACATTTACAATTAAGCAATTTTTACCTTCACCAACATTTGGAAATCTGCCAGAAATTGAAATTAACAGCTTACAACTATTTCAAAATTTCAGCTGAATTGGCATGGTGAAATCATAAGTCTAATATTGTCTTTTGCTCTTATTTTGATGACAACTATACATTTCAGATAAAGCACATAAATTTATGGTTTTATTTCATGTTAGTATTAAATAATTTTAACAGTATTTAAAATTCAAATTTCCTTTAACCCTTTGCATCACCGCGTTACACATCTGCAACACACATGAAAATTCAATCATATAATGAGCTGAATTTACCTATAAAATCGAACCAAATTCAGGTAAAGAAAATATTGCAAACTCGGGGGAACCAAGTCTTGGTGCAGCTACCAATATTATAATGCGTTCAGCAAGAATTGTTTCACGACATAAGGATATACAATTTTTTTACAACAATCCCCTTGATTGTATATTTGGCTAAGGAGGGATTGAAAAATGTGGTGTTAAACTTTGTTACCATAAAAACAACAATTTCAAATTTTTTCACATGAAGTTTTAAATATATTGGAATTTTTGTGCTATTTTTCACGATATTGGAGATGTTCAACAAATGCTTTTTATCAATAAATTTTTAATTTTAAGGTCTTAAGTTTTTCATTATTTTTTACACGCTTAATATGATGTATTCTAACATCCGCGAAAATATTTCTTAAATCAGAGTTGTTGAGTTACAAAGGGTTAAGATAACACAAAAAAGAAGAAAGTGCTTACCAAAAAACAAGACTTTATTCTTCGATGAAAACTCTACAGCAAATTTGAAAAGTGATAAATTTATTAATTGGAATTTACAAAAACAAAATAATTAATCCATATTGAGTTTAATATTTTGGATTCAGATTGACTCTGCTTATTTTATATTAGGAACACACAAAGATATAAGTAATACCACATCATCTTTGCTCATATCATTTAATGAATCCATATTAAAAACAGACTTAGAGTTAGCACTCGCGAACCGCACAACTTTATCCATAAAATCCTCATCGTTATGTCTTTTAGCAAAGGTAAAGAGAGAACATGCATTCATGGTGTTAAGGTGGCTTAGCAATTCCATCTTGCAAACTTCTCGTAAAGACAGCACTCCGTACTTGTCAGCCGCGTAGTACAGTTCCAAGGTCTCTTCAAAATTCCCAGTTTCGTTTGCAGCAGAATACAGAAAGTTGACGAGTCTCTTCATTGTAGCTGATCCGATGTCTGAAACGACAACTTCGTTTTCGGCAGCTTCTCTCGAATCGGTATCGAACATTTTCCGGAATACAGGGGAGCGTGATTGCAATACCAGTTTGTGAGCTTTAATATTGTCCTCATCCACTTTTAAGACTATGTCGGTGTCAATTGCTTTGTCGAAAATTGTTTTAAAGTCCAAGCTGAGTTTTTCCATTGCATCACTCGTTTCATTTTCCAGGTCAGATGCCATTACGGTGCAAGATACTCTAATATTTCGACCCCTATATTCTGAAACCGAATTCTCAGCAATTAAATCAAATTTTTTAGAATTCATATAACCTAGCTCCTTAATTTTCGTACAAATAGTTGAATTATTTGCGTCAATCATGGTAAGCACAGAACGTCCATTTTCTACGAACTTTGGATTCCACAAACTCAAAGAAAGAGGGCCACTATATTTAAATTTGAATTCTAGAAATGAAGTCTTCCCTCCTTTAGTAATAAATTCTGGACTTCGTAAAGTACTGTCGCATCTTAAATCTGCCCCTTTAAGCATCCATTCAAAAAACAAGAAATGATCAAGATAAATTATGATAAGATTGTCACTTTTTAAAACACCTACCATTTCCAAACTAGAAATAATAATTTTCAAACTAATATCAATTCATAATAATTTGGAATCAAACTAAAATACAATTTCCAAATTACTGTAATTTACAAACTAAAATCGTTTCAATGGTTGCAGCAAGTTTCAGTCATAAAGAATATCTAAGCTATGTTACAGTTTAAAATTCTTCGAATTGCAGTTATTTGTTAGTAATATTTTACCTTTTCACTTAACTTCACTGTAGTGACAATGTGCGACAAAAGAATAGTTGACACATTCAACCTTGAATGGTTTGGTTAAATTATCAGTTTTCCGTCATCAAAGGGGACGTGGTAGCCCAGTGGTAAGAGAATCGAACTCCGTTCTGGAGGGTGGGACCAGATCTATGACCCATTGAGTACATGCTCCTAAAATCTGTGGAATGAAAAAGGCTTGTGGTGGGTCACTGACCATGTGTACAGGGTTTTGTAACAAATTTCCTTTCCCTTAAGATCTATGTCTAATTTGAGAAAGTGACTACACAAATTGTGATTTCATATCTTCGTATCATTCTCATAGATGTTTCCCGAATCGNTCGCCAATAGCCCATTGTGTAGTTCTAGTGCGACGTAAATTAACAACAACAACTTCACTGTAGTGATAATGTGCAGCAAAGGAATATTTGAAACCTTCAACCTTGAATGGTTTGGTTAAATTATCAGTTTTCCGTCATCAAAGGGGCCGTAGTAGCCCAGTGGTAAGAAAATCGAACTCCGGTCTGGAGGGTCCTGGGACCAGATATAAGACCCACTGAGTACATGCTCGTAAAATATGTGGAATGAAAAAGCCCTGTGGTCGGTCACTGACCATGTGTACAAGGATCTGTATAGAATTTCCTTTCCTTTCAGATCTATGTCTAAATTGACGAAGTGATCACACAAATTGTGATTACATGTCCTTAGATCATTCCCATAGATGTTTCCCAAAACGTCGCCTATAGATCACTGTGCAGCTCTAGTTCGACGTAAATAAAGTCCCTACCTAAGTAGGTAGGTAGGTACTTTATTTACGTCACACTAGAGCAGCACAATAGGCTATTGGCGACGGTCGTGGAAACATCCTTGAGGATGATCCGAAGACATGTCATCACAATTTTGATCGTCTGCAGAGGGGATGGCACCCCCGCTTCGGTAGCCCAACGACCTGCGCGTGAAGTCGAGCACTTTACGGTAGCACAGTTTAACGAGGACCAATACCACACGGCCTCGGTCTCTACGCAGACTGATCCAAGTGGTCACCCACCCGCACACTGACCGCAGCCAGTGATGCTTGACTTCGGTGATCTGCTGGGAACCGTGTCTTAACGATCAGTCCACTGCGGGACGGTGATCAGCTGGGAACCGTGTCTGAATGATCAGTCCACTGCGAGACATTTATTTATTGTAAACGTGACATTAAAGCTACGTTAACAGATTATTGTAAACTGTTCGGGATATATCCTTAATGATGAACCGAAGGCAATATAAGTAGATGCAAACACTTTAACCACGATTTATTTCATATGAATACTCTGAACCACTAAGACACCACAACTGAAAATCGCATTATTTATAATAATAAATGTATTTATTCATTTATTGGTAAAGCATATAATTTGTGGCTTGTGCACTTAAGGTTTAAAAACCTTTTTCAAGTGGAAGGACAAATAGCACAAGTCAAACAAAGACAGTACGGAGATACATCCAGGGTAAAAGCGGGACTCGAACCCACTACTTTCACGCTTCGCACAGCGTTTGGTGGGAGAGACTGCTGTGCCGTGATGGCCTTAAGAAAAATGCAGAAAGCAAATAATCTCTTTACTTAAGGAGAAAATTACGAACGGATGTTAGAATAAGAAATAAAAACTTTCTAATAAAATATATCAGTAGATCATGGAAGTCAAGCATCACAGTGTGCGGGTTGGTGACCACTTTGCAAACTGATCAAACAATTGCGATCATTTTAAGGGTATGCGATATCTCTCCTTATTGAACTGTTCTAGCTCAACTTCCGACCGTTGGGCTACCAAGGCTAGGGTTCCACACTTCTGCAGAAGATCAAAATTGTTAAGGTATGTCTTCGGATCTTCCTTAGGAATATTTCCCAGAGTACACTAGGGTTCGGGTATGTTTAAATAAATTATTACTTCTACAACCACTTACATAGGGGCTCTACCTAGCCGAGTGGCCTCATTAATCCGCCAAACGCTCTACAGCGTGTTTCAATTCTACCATAAATCTGGATGTATATTTTATTTTATAACCGTCGTTGAACAGCCGACCCAATTTTTAGAGTTTACGACTTATATGGATGTATTTTTGTGGTATTCTTAACTAATTTGTTCTACCTGTTCTTCAACTCGACAAAGACTTATAAGCTGTACTTAGAAATAAGCACACAGGCCCGCGCATGTATGTGTCACCATAAAAAACAAAGTAACGCAGAGGACTGATCCTTAAGATACGGTTCCAGCATATCAGCATCAATGTCTACGGTCAGTGTGTGGATGGGTGTCCATTTGTATTAGTCTGCGTAGGGACCGAGGGTGTCCGGTATTGCTCCTTGTTAAACTGTTCTACCGTAAAGTGCTCGACTTCGCGTGCAANCTTTTTAATTTAATTTTTTATGGGCACCTTAAATTATATTTCCGTCTGAAATAAATTCAATAATGCAAAATAATACTTAAACATATAATATCAAAATAAAAATAAAAAAGAAAGTTTTGTTTAAAAAAAAATTTACCTTATTAATTAAGAAACACTTCTTTATATATTCTTTTCAATAATAGATTACGTTCAGAACAAGGTAGCGATCACAAAGTCAGTCCCACTGAAAATAATCTACAAGAAACGATATCAAGTCACGACAAAGACGAAAAAAAAAACTAAGAGATGCGGAAACGAACATGCGAGATCACGATATATGCTCTCAAAACTGATTCTGGTTCTACCGCTCATCAATTAAGGCCCTTTCAATACAACGATACGAACATCGTCTTCCCCAGCGCGAGTTGGCATCGGAACGTAAGAGATCCTTGCGTGTCTTGTATCGCTATATCGTTCGTCTTCTTTACTCGAAGGCTTAAATCAGATTTCTGATGCATCACCTGGAACGAAAGTAGTTGTATCGGCCTGCCGATACAGACGTTAAATCGATATGTCGCTATAGATCGATTTATAGCCCAGTCCTACTTGTTACACAACCATTTCCAGGTTTATGTACTCATTAAAATAAAAGACGGTCTATAAGCCTTTTTTAGATTGAAGAACAAATAGTAAAAGTTAGAGGAAGGCATCACAAAGATATATCCAGAGTTAGAACGGATTCAGATCCACTACCTCCATGCTGCTGTGAGTCTGGTGGATCGGCAAAACAACTAGGCGAGAGAGGCCTCCCATTTTGGTTACAATGTCGAAAAGCATCGTAAAAATTTAAAAAAAAAAAAATTGCGCACACACCGAAAGTCCAGCAGTGGACAGATCGTTAAGCACCACTGGCTACGGTCAGTATGCGGGTGGTTGACCACTTGTATTTGACTGCGTAAGTACCGAGAGTGTGCGGTATTGGTCCTTGTTATACTGTTCTACTGTACCTTGTTATACTGCTCGATTTCGCGTGCAGTTCGTTGGGCTACCGAAGTAGAGTGTCTTCCCCTCTGCAGAGGATCAAAATTTTTATGGCATGTCTTCGAATCATCCCCAGGGATGTCTCCTAGGCGGTCGCCAATAGCCCATTGTGCAGCTCTAGAGCGACGTAAACGAACTACAACAACAACATTAAAATTAGAAACAAATCACCCTCTTGAGTCGTGATGGCTATGGGGATAGAGCATTAGCCTTCCAGTGAGGTGGGCCGGGTTCGAATCTCAGCGATGGCTTGTCGATACGAATTCCGCATCTGGCTTGCACCGACTACAGTGTTGACGTAAAACATCATCGGTGGTAGACGGATTGTAGGTTAGAGTCTCCTTGCCATGAGGCTAACCGTGGAATGTTTTCGTGGTTTTCCTGCTTAATGTAACACAAATGCGGGTTAGTTCCATCTCCTAATACTTCATCCAAGAGTTTCCTTGTATTCTGGATTGAGTTCAAAATTACTGCCTTACGGAATTGAACATTAGTAGTAGCAAAATCAAAAAAAAGGGTCTGCTGTTCAACGTCGGTTATAAAATAAAAGCATCACTCATAACTTCTATAAAGTGATGTGGCAATATCTCAGTCGTTGCTGTTGCAGTTCATTTACGTCGCTCTAGGACTACACAATGGGCTATTGCTAAGGTCTGGGAAACATCTCTGAGAATGATTCGAAGACATGCTATCATAATTTTTTTATCCTCTGCAGAGGGTATTGCATACCCGCTTCGGTAGCCCGACGACCTGCACGTGAAGTCGAGCATATTACGGTCAAACAGTTTAATGAGGACCAATACTGCAGCACACCCTTGCTCCCTACGCAGACTGATCCAAGCGGTCATCCACCCGAACACTGACCGCAGGCAGTGATGCTTGACTTTGGTCATCCTCTGGGAACCGTGTCTTAACGATCAGTCCACTGCGCGACGTAGCAATATCTCAGAGAAATCTCTTAAACTATGTATGATTTTTAACTTTAAACGTAATACAATATGCTTAATTTGACAAAAAGCGCTCTTTTCTTAAGAAACATTAAAAAATTTTATTTGCATTTGAAACTAAAGAACTATTTGAAACTTTGCCCACAAACTAAAATTCTGAAACTAGATTTCTTAAAATTCTGACTATTATGGGGAACCTGGGAAGAAAAATGAATACTTGGCATTAGTAGAAACAGACGACTACTGGCAGTTTCCTATCGACAAATTTTTAAAAGTATGGGTGTTTCTTAATTTCACGGTTATAAATTATTAAAGAAACGGTTAATCCGTACATCTACAGTTCAACTCGTATCGCTTATAAAGTACCACAATTTGCAGATGTAATCTCAAAAGGGGGTATCATTTCAATCCCATTCTATATTTTGTTTTTTAAATTAGTTTTTCAACATTTTTTTATTGAGCAAATGGCGGAAATCTATATTTAGGATTGGAAAAATATTTGAAAATTCTGAATATATAAAAAAAATTTATCCAAAAAATTCTAAATTTATTTCATTATGAACAGATTAATTAATGAAAATTATTTAACTCAATATTATATTACATATTTTTCTTTGGGTAGAATTTTCTAATGTTATTTTACATATTATGAATTCAACAAATTGATAAAATAGTAATAAAACCTAAGGCAAACCACTTTCTGATTGAATCAATACTAAAATACTAAGGGTTTTTGTAACCCATACATATGCAAGTATATTGAAAATATTGAAGGGCACATAATGCTGCATCTTTTAATTGTATAAAAATTTTTCTATACGGATATTTAATGAAATTTCTTATTATGAATATCTAGAATACAACACTAACAAAAT